ATATCGCGCTGAAGCTTAAACATTTCCAGGTGAAGCATTTATTTTGAAAAGTACATAAACTTCGTAATGGTAGCAACAAGAAGAGCAGGAAAAAGCAACAAAAGCAACAGCAGCAATATCACTGAAACAGATGGAATCCTCACTTTCCAGTGTTTTCGGGACAACGTTTTTTTTTCAGTTACACTGTAGCGGCTTCACGGATGGAGTTCTATCGATCTGCGCTCGGTGAAATACCTCGTTCATAACGAGCTTTATTCAGTGCTGCCAGTTTCCCACGAGCTTCAATTAATTCACGTTCTTTTCGTAAAACCTGCTCCTGCGCATCCATAACCTGCAGCAGTAACAACAATTTTGAATATTCATAGAACATCTGCCAAAAATAATGACGCACTAGTTCCTGCTGAAACAGGATGGAAACGGCGCGAGGCGCGGGGGCAAGGTGAAGGAAATTGTGATGCAAAAAAACGTTCCAGAAAGAAAAACAGGTGTGTCTCAGTTATGATGACGGAGAACCCAAGCCTGAATCTCTTCACCAATATGGCACAAAAAGCATCCTATTAAACATGGCAATTCTCGAATGATTTCAAGCAACAATTGGCATTTCTGTGCGCCTCTTTTTCTCACTATTTGATAAAGCCAGCGCAAAATTTAACGACCAATTCGGCAACGATCATTTTGGATCTTAAAAGAATCTACTTTGTGTTGCAAGCGGTGGCAATTTTGGCTACTTAACTGATTTTGATGCAAAATGAACAGATTCTCTATGTATGCCCAATTTAAATGCCTTTCAGTGCGAAGGCAAATGCTTTTAATTTTCCTAAGGTACAATACCGGCTTTCTTCAATCAAAATTTCGAAGAACTTGAATAGAAAAAGGAAACCTACAACAGGTGGGAAAATAAAAAAGTATGAGTCTACCTGCGCAATCCCCGAAACCATACGCTGTGAGATGATGAATGTGCGTTCGTCTTCGTGGATTGCCGAACGAGCTGCGTGAACGAGATGCTCGGTAGCTGTTTTTACTGCGTGGCCGGCACTCTGCAGACGTTGCATTGCACGACTATCCAAATCCGATTTCACTTTGCATGCTACCAACAGATGAGCAGTGGACGAAGCGACCTGAAAAACCGCAGTGCTAATGCAAGTTCAAATGGATTACATCTTACGAAGAAGTATTTATGTAGAGCTGGATAAA